TTTTTTTAGTTAATAAGCAAACTAGGTTCTGTGGAACATGATCCCTGCCTCCAAAGAGGTGAAATCTAGTGAGAAGTATATAAACTTTTGAAAAGGTACGAAACGAATCAGGCCAATAGATGATAAGAACAAAACCAAAACACAAGCTATGAACAAGGAGCTCAGAGGAAGTCACCAGAAGCTGAGCAAAACCAGTCTGTTTAGGGAAGAAAGTTCCCAAAGGAGGAAATTAGAAGATGAATATTAAAGGATGTCAAAGATTTAGATGAATGGAAAGGAAGGAGAATATAGAGTCCTTTAGATGGAGGCAATATTGTGAGCCAGGACATGGAGGAAGGAATCTTATTGGTGACTTTAGGAAATCATGAATACGCGTGTCATTGGCTTCATCCCAGACATTCGGTGCCAACGTATCTATACCTATATGATGACTTGGCACACACACTGCCCCTCCTTTACCCCAGGTTCACCTAGAATTACAATCATATCTCTTTGCCATTAAAGCACGTCGGAGTGATTGATGACTAATATGAGAACCTGTGGCTTTTCTGTTAACCTGATAATTGGCATTTATTGAGTTCTCGCTATATGTTAGGCATTTTAAGTATTAACTCAAGCCTTACAACAGCCCTGCCAAATAGGTATTATTATCCCCATTTTATAGATCAGGAAGCTGAGTTTTATTGAGGTTAAGTAACACGCTGAACTGCCGTATACAAGGTTCACATTCAGAATTATGATGGCGAACCTCATGATCTAAAATGCTAAGTCACAATATTGTGGTCAATGATGTCACAATATCACCACTTCTGTATTCTTTGATAGTTTTCTATGGCAAACAAAGAGCTATTTTACTTAATTATCACCTCAAAAAAATCTGAGTTTTCTGATTAAGTTACACTCAAGTGATAAAATGTATTTTCACAATAGAAAATTGAAAAAAAGTGGGGAATGGAGATTATCAGCCTTTGGGCTTTCTTTTTTGTGGGGCAGTCTTTGATGACTTTGTTCACTCGGTCTGCGTGAAATCTCAAGTTCTTGAGAATATGAAAGGTGGCAGGAGAGCTTCCAGGTCATCTACCGCGATGCCCTTTTCTACAGATGAGATAAATCTAAGAGCACTTCGGGGAGATCACACATTTGAGTGCGGCAGAGCTAGGTCCAGATGCTGGGCCTCCAGTCCACTCTCAGAGGCTCTGAACTGCTCGATCCTGCCCAAGTGAAGTATGAACTTGAATTTACCAATGAAAGCATTGTATCCAGGTGAACAGGGAGCAGTGTACCTAGGAGACTGTTGCAATTTTGTATCTCCTTGGCTTCCCACCTCAGTGGGAAAAAGTGCTAGCTGTGAACTGATATCTTTAGATGGAGAAATTATCAATCATCCATCCCCAAAGAACACCTAATGGGTCAAGTTATATGTGCAGTGTCTTCAATGACACCCTCTGGTTATTTGGAGTTCTTAGCTCACATAAAGAAATCAGATCTACTGATGAGCATTTTCTTAACCAATTTTATGTACAGTATGTATTTGTAAGTGCTTCTGCATGAATACTTATTCATGACTGTTTCAACAGTCCTTATGTTTTTGAAAATATCGATGGTTATTTGCCATTTTAATCCTCACTTATCCATGTAACTAACTCAAGAATACTTCAGATATAAAAAGCAAAAATTGAGGAAACCTTGCTTTTCCTTGACAGCCTCTTTGCTTTTGCTCGACATTTAGTAATGATGAATAAAGTGGTCAGCTAGACAGCACAGAGGTTCAAAATGCAATTTTGTCTTGAAGGAGTCAGTTAAGCTGGGACTAATTAAGGAAAAACATCTAGATGCTTGGAACATTTGATACATATTTGCACATCTAGATCTGAATATTTGCTGTAAATTTCCATTTAGATACCTGGCATTGTCAGACTTAGAGCGTGTGGTTCAGGTTGTCCTGTTTTCACAATGATGGTTGTTGGCCGTATCTCACACAGTTCTCATTAAGTGAGTTTGTAAATAAACAGGGATTTTTTTTTGAAAGAGTAGCCAAGCACAAAATGTGACTTGGTTGATATTTTATGAGGTTCCTGTCATATGTCCCCTGAACTCCCAATAAAAGCAATGTTGCATCAACTGTGAACTTGTGTTGATTTCTTGAATGAGCGCGCTCTCATAAATTGTTTTCACCAGTGTATATCAAAGCTAGCTTAAGATTCATGAAGAGCAACTAATCTAATGCGATGGGAAAATTTAAATTTAGAGACAATTTCTAAACGACCCCATGTTGCCTTTCAGTAAAGGGCATTATCATCTACCCAGGTCTACGAAACCGAGGTATGACACTTATCTTTTTTCTTTCCACCTGTTATGGCCATTCTATCAGGTAAACCCTTTTGATTTTTCCCTCTTTCTCTTTTCAAACACGTCTACTTCTCTTCATCGTCTGTGTGACTGTAGTTAACCCTTATTTCTTACCTGGACTCCTGTGTCATGCCTCTAGTTTTACCCTCCACCCCCCCAAGGAGCGGCCAGGGAAATTGCTCTAGACCACAAGTAAGATCCTATCATTCCGGAGTTTCAAGCTTTTCACTGGTTGTGAAATGTGGCACCTAAAGCCCTTCATCTCCTGGATCTTGGCCCCAGCATTCCTGTCTGGACTCCTCAAGTACCTCTCTCCCAGTGCTTTTCTAGGTTCTTGCCATGCATCACTGCCATTACTCAATGTTTCTTTCTCTTCTGTGCTTTCTCATGCCCCTAAACCTTCAGCTTAGTTCTCCCTCTATGACTCCTGCCAGATCCCATCTCTTGTCCTTCAGGTTTCATCCTGGAAGTCATTTCCTCTTGGAAGTCTTCAGGCCAACCACCCACTACTCCTAAAACTAGATTCTCCCCTTGGTGTTTTCATGACATTGTGTGCTTAGAGGTAAGCATGGTAGCATGATAACTTACCTGCCGGTTTGCTCCATCTGAATATGAGTTTCTGGATCTGCCTTGTTCAGTAGGGTAGCCGCTCACCATATATGTTGATTTCCATTTAAATTAATTAATAAATTAAATTTAAATTAGAAATTAAAATAAAATTAAAATTCAATTTCTCAATTGTACTGGCCATATCTCAAGTGCTCAGTTACCACATGTGACTAGCGGCCACCCTGTTGAAGAGCACAGATAAAGAAAAGTTCCATCATCTAGAAAGTTTTATTGGATAATATTGTTCTAAAAGACAAGTACTGTGTTTTGTTTGTCATTTCATCCCCGAGACTTGAAGCATTTCTTAACTGGAATTTGTCATCTGAACCACAGAGAAAAAAAAATTTTTGTTTTGAGTATTTTCTCAATTCTCCCAAGGATGATATTTAACTAAAACTATACTATATACATAAGAAGGAAATTAATTATTTTCATGTAAAGATGTCCAGGATTAAGGTTTAATTCTAGCCTAAAACCCTCACTGAGGAAGACTACAATAACTCACCACAATGCTTGGCACAATGTAAGTATTTCATAAATTTCTGCTGGATGAATGAATGACACATGTGGACACTTATACACATTTCATTTATTTTCACCTAGATGTGTGGAGTCATGTAGGAGACATGTCTTTAGATTCCACAGGGCCCCTTCTCTAGAGGATATGGCGATGGATGATGTCCTTATTTTCACCAAAAGGTTAGTTCAATTGTGTCACTCTAATGGGATCACCCATTATTTTACTTTCCTTTATTGTTTACACTGGCAAACAAAAGTAGAGACTTGAGCTCTTATTCAATGAGTAACATCAAAGTGAAAATAAAGTAGATATCAGAGTTGATAAGTTTATTTCTTTCAGGGTTTAGCCAATGTTCACTAAAAATGTTCATTATTTCCTGAGCACCTACTATGTGCCAGACTTTTCTTAGGTCCTGGGGATATAGGAGGAAACAAGATGGGACAATTCTTGTGCCTGTAGTGAAACACTGCTGTCATTATTTCAGTCCCTCTCCCTGCTTTGTACCCAAAGCAGGAATCTTCCACCTTTGCTGCATATTGTAACCACCTGGGGAGTTTAAAAATGACTGATACCTGAGTCTTTCACAAAAGACTGACTTAATTGGTGTAGGGTGTAGCCTGGAAATTAGGATGTTTTCAAAGCTCCTGTGTGATTGTAATGTGCTTCCAAAATTGAGAACTATTAATCTATGGGAACATAATCTTAGAGTGAGCTCAGATATCAACAGTTCTTGGTATTGACAATTGATTATTTATATAATATTAGGATCAAAAGTTACTCTTTAAAAATCATCTAACATATCTTTATTATACTTTTTATTCCTCAGAATATAAGCTGATATTGAAGAGTCACTGAGTTGTCCAGGTTGAACAGCCAGTTCATGACTGAGATAATACCTGACCCCAGGTTCCTGACTCTAACACAACTCCCTTTTTTTGCTACACAAAGCTGTCACAAGGAAATGGAAAATGTAACTATCTTCAAATCAAGAGACAACCAACATCCACTGTGGGTGTAATTTTTTTCAAGCAAGAATTGAATTTGGACCAATTTGAATTCCATGCACTCAGATTTTTCTTCTAGTCACATGTGAACACTATAGATTCATTTTGTTACAGTGACACTTCTTTTTTGAAAAACATACATTATACATATATAACTAGAGAGAGAGTTCAGTTCCCTGGGAGCCTTAACTGCATTCTTACAAATTCAAAAATCAATATACATATGTTAAACCCCACATAGACCTATGAAGGACACTTTACCTTTTAACTGAAACTACTCAATAGCAGAAACAGTAGTGGGAAGAGAAAATAAGAGTGCATTGTGCTCCCACACTCTCTGTCTCCACCCACCTTATTACATGACATTCCATTAAGTTCAACATTTCACAGTACAGGTAAGAATTGCCAGTCTGTTCCCAGAAGAAAAGCTGACTCCGAAAAATAACCACTATAAAAAAAGGTTACCTTTCTTAGCTACCACCACCTTCCATGTTTAGATTCTCCTCAAAGAACAAGAGAATCCAGAACCATGAAACATCTCTTCCACTCTTTCCATCCATGTCAGACCACATAGTGAAAAAGTGCCTTTCCATTTTCTTAAGGCATCAGAATTAAACTAATGTTCACACACTTCCTTCAGAACTCATTTCAGAGTCTGAGAGCCTACACAGTTGGGAAACTGTTTTATTTCTATCCCAAATCCCTCACGTTGTAGTTTAATCCCATTTTCTCTTGTTTCCTGTGGAGAGAAAGAACAGCTGGTCTCCATTCTCTCTTAACTCAATCCCTTCAAGTCCTTAAAGACACCTACGTCCCAGCCTTCTCTTCTCTGGAATAAATAATAGCAGTTCCGATCAGGAAAATGTCTCTTTTGGATTGTGCATGTTCACTGCCTTATCACATAGATCCATGCTCATCACATAGTTTTCATAACTAAAACTGAGCCAAGGCCAAGAGGAAAAACAAGCAAATGTATCATTGTTTTCATAAATGAAGTTACAGGTCCAATAATAGATGCTGAATACATAGTCTTGAGTGATAATCTTCCAATAATTATGTGCCAAAATTATCATACTTTCTTTTAGAAAGTATTGGCAATCTGTTGCTTTTGGAGAGATGAATTAAAAATGCAATGGTTAGGTTTCAATTTCCTTTATGCAAGTTCTCCCCATGCCCTGCGATGGAATATTCCATTCAGCATTCCACAGCAGGACCCACCATTGCTTTGACAAAAATAGATACAGTATTGGAACATTCAGTCAATGGAGTAATCCAATTGTCTGAACATTCTTTTCTGCTTTGTCATTTACATTTTAATAAATCCCAGAATATGTCAAGCTGTATCCAGTTGTACCAAGTGTAGCTAATAACATGCAGTTACCAGATACAAAGAGGAAATCATAACATGCAAGTCCAGAAATGTATCAATATTTGGTTTGTGTATATTTTTAGGGCCCTACATTCTGAATAGTGATACTTTTAAAAATAAAAAAAAAGGATGTTTAGCAAAATATTTGCTATTATCAACATTCTGTTGGTGTTCAGTGTTCATAGAGGAAGCTGTTGTGGGGAGGGGGCTCTACTTAATTGAGGTAGGAATGCTAGTATCTGTTAACCCTAAGGATAAAACTATATAGTGAGCAAAACGTGGAATGTTAAATTATCATCCTATGCCTATTTTTCTTCCAGTTTACTGTCTCAATTGAGGGGGCCCAGATAATCACATTTTGAAGTCTTTTGACCTTGATACCAAGAGTTCAAGCAAACCAGTCCTGAAAAAGATTGTATGTGTGTGTGATTATTATTAACCTATATGCATAACATACCCTATGCAAATATCGGCCACGAATTGTTTCCACATTTGAGAGATCTTTTATCCTGGTTTTACAAAGCCCACTGAATTTTTACAATGTTAGAGCTACAGTGATGGTGGAGTGATCGTCTCAGCATGTTGGGGATCCCTAAATGGCAGGTATGTGCCTGGAGAGGAGGAGGCTTCTTCAAGGCTGAGACTATTGGGAGAAAGTACAACTTAACTCTGCTTATAACCTTTGTACCTAATGGTCTAAGTCACTTAAGTTAGCCCATCACAAACTCTCACTTTAGACTTCTCTCATACCTCTTGGTGGTTAATCGATTGCCCTTGCGATATGAGCTGCCAAAGGACCAGGATTATTTCTTGACGTTAGGTAAATCTGATTAGTTTTAAACTTGTAATAAATTCAAGAACTAAAAGGACCATTTATCTTTTGCTAATGCTTAGAGCAGTTGAAATGCTTGCCGCAGGGATTGTGAACCGCACACTGCTGTCACTACGTGGGGTCAAGTATTGTGTTGAGAAGGATATCATAGCTTACGGGAGTGGAATGGAGAAAACTAAATGGCAGTGGCATTGTAATGCACAAGTGAGGTCATCAGCATTTCTTGATTCCCAGAGTTTTCTTGTACTGTGCCCCCCCGTGTGATAACTGGTAAATATAGTAGAAAAGGATGCACCAGCCAAGAGTGGAATGATCACAATATTTTGAAGACTTTTAGAGAATGACCCTTCAAATTTTCCCATTCACTTAGAATATGGTCAAACGTTTGTTCTCATAAAGTACTACCATGATTATGTAACAATGGGTTATGGCTTTGGATGGCATGCAGTGAACTTGAATTAATCAATGAATGATCTCAGTCAACATTAGGGAGAATTTTAGGAGGTATGTCAGATAGTGGAGGTCAAAAGGCACAGTGGAAAGTTCTATTTTTGTAAATCAAAGGTCTCCCATTCTAGATCTAACTCTATGGGTAATTCTTTAACTTTTCTGGAGTCGAGGTAGCTCTTTTGTAAAATGAGAAACATGGTAGGGGAGTCGTTCTTACATCACAAAGAGACGTCAAAAGTAAATATGATAAAATGTATTAAGTCTCTTATTGCTTTTTAATATTCTCTCCTTGCCTTTAACTTTTGACATTTTAATTCTGTAAAGTATCCTGGTGTAGATCTCCTTTGGCTCATCTTATTTGGGCTTCCTGGACCTGGATATCTGTTTCCTTCTCCAGGTTAGGGAAGTTTTCGGCTCTTATTTAATCAAATAAGATTTCTTCCTTTTTCTGTCTCTGTTTTCTCCTTTTGGGATCCTTTTAATGCAAATGTGAGTCCATTTGATGTCCCAAAAGCCCATTAAGTTATCTTCACTTTTTTCATCCTTTTTGCTGCTCTAATTGGGTGAATTCCATTGCCTTGTCTTTGAGTGACTGATCATTTCTTCTGCTTTATCTAATCTGCTGTTGAACCCCTCTAGTGTATTTTTCTGTTCAGTTATTGTATTTTTGAGCGCTGTGACTTCTATTTTGTACTTTCCTGTATATTTATTCCTTTGAAATTTTTGTCAGGTATATTGCTTACATTCATTGCATTAAAGTTTCTTTTTTTTCTCCCCTGAAGTTTTGTCTTGTTCTTTCATTTGGAATATATTCCTCTGTTTCTTCATTTTGCTTGAGTCTCTGTGTTGGTTTCTGTATGGTAGATAAACTACCACCTCTCCCAGTCTTGAAGAAGTGGCCTCATGTAGGAAGGAGGTGAATCTTGTCCTAGCTCTTTGTCATCTCTCAAACCTTTTGTGCTTGTCCAAGCAGGGTATTATATTTTTGATAGATCCTAGTAGTTGATGTGCCAAGATCTGTCAGTGTCCCTATGGGGAAAAAAATCTCAGCACTTAGCTTCAGCCTGTTTGGAAGCCAGACCCTCAGGCAGCAGCTTTTACAAGTGTGCAAATATATACAGGCCTGTGAGACCACAGCATAAATTCCACAGACCAAGAGATCTGGAGGTGTCCCCCAGGTGGCAGTTGTGAAAATCAGGGCTCCAGAATTTGCACAATCTCTTTTCTGGGAGATACTGGTGAGCTGGAACAAGGGAGAGTGAGAGTACCAAGATGGTGTCCACAGCTTATGTTCCTTGAGAACAACTCCATAGTCCACTAGATGTGTGCTGGACCTGAAGTCTGCCCCTTAGGCTGAAGCTGCAGGGCAAGCAAAGGGCCCTTCACACCAAAGACTGGAGGTGTGCCTCAGTCTATTGTCTGTGCAGTACCCTAGGGGTGGCAACCTGACAACAGCCATTTGTCCAATTATCACAGTCCAGTGGGACCTAGGAATGCAAGCGCCCCTGGCCACCAGAACTGGGTGATCAAGATTACGTATTATTGGCTTTTAACTACCCAGGTTAATAGAGAACAGCAGGGATGCAGATGTTATAAAAATTAATACGGTTTCACAGAATGTACTTTTGACGTTTGTTCAGCCAAATTTCCTTTTGGATTCTGGATCTATAAACTTTCAGTGATGAAGAAGCCGTAAAAGTCATCCAGTCTATCTTTTGCTTGAATTTACTCTGCTTGCCTAATGAACCAACTCACCGATGAGCAATTCCATGTGTAGACGACTCATAGTTTAACTACTTTTTCCCTGTATGGAATCACAAGAGGATCTTCCATCATTCTTGGCTTCTCCCATGGATTATACCGTGTAAGTTTGATCTCTTCTGCTTATCAGTCCTACAGATATTTAAAAGAAGAAATCATGTCCCTTCCAGAGCCTTCTTTACTCTAGGCTCACACACCTAGCATCTTTAATCCGCCTCCCATGGCATTCATTCAAATACCTAGATCATGCTGTTCATCTCCACACACTCCCATTTGTTTATCTGCCTTTTAAAATGTGCTACTCAGAATTTTATGCAGTTTTCTAGATGTGGACTGACAAATGGAGAACAGAAATAGATGATCACTTTTTAAAATTACCCCTCTTGGTTCTGAATGTCTCTGCATAAAACCTCATATTACTCTTCTTAGCAGTGTCGACCCATATCATCTCACTATCTATTAAAACACTTACGTCTATTTTGTACATGGCACTGTCAAACACCGTTTCCCTCATCCTTAGATTCAGCACATTCGTGTGTCTCCCAATGTCTTTTTTGATCCTAATGAACAACTGATACATCCAATGTTTCTCTCAAAGTCATCTTATTCACATATGTGATTCAACTTCCCCGAAAGGAGATCACCAGAAGCTTTGTCAGGTGACTTGTTGAAGTTAGAATCCTACATGTCATTGCCCAAAACTCTCCGTCTAATAAATGTCAAAGGAAGAAGTGAAGTTAATCTGGCACATTTTTTGTTTGTTTGTTTGGTCTCATATTTACCTTAGTTTTTGTTGACATGTTCTGATGTTGGGAAGCAGCCACATAGATGAAGGATGAATAACAAAGGAAGGGTGGTTTGGGGTCAGTATTTTGCTTCAGGTAGTCAAAAAAAAACCCATTTTATATGTGAATGCTTGAGGTTACTACTACATATGTTGATGTTTTAAAAAACTGAATCTTGCTCCCTTTGGGTCGGTAGGTAAATAACCCTCCTTGAAAGAGGAGATTGAGGGTACAGGCAGTTGGAAATCTTTTGTCAGTAGTCGATGGGGACGTTAATATGTCCATATGTCCTTGCACTTATCTGTCCCCCATAATAAAGTAAAAGTAATTGTGATTAAAAAATGCTTGGTTTCTCGCTGTAGTAACAATTCTCTGTAAGAGGAGCATGAGTTATATAGGGTGAGTGTGGTCTGGCACCTCTTCAAGGGGTTTAGTTACTAAAGTGCCTGGAGATACTCATAATGAGGCGTTTCAGTGCATTTCAAATTGTTAAACCGAATTGAAATTCATGATAAAGCAGTCCCACGACCTGGCCCCAGAGGACGGCATTCTTAGCAAGGCTCCAGTGTCCTGTGCTCTCGGATGGTAATGGTATCCAGAAACATCCAAAGTCCTCTTTTCATTCTTTCGCTTCCTTCTGTGCTAAAACTTGGCAATTCTTTCTCTGAGCTCCATTTATTTTTTTACTCTTCCCTTCTCATTTTCTTCCTTCCCTCCACCCTTTCTCTCTCCTCTCTTTTCATTTCTTCCTCTCTCTCTCTCTACTTCCTTCCTTCCTTTCCTTTTTTTGGTTGGCATTTCTCACCACCTCCCCACCCCTTTTTATTCTTTACTGATTTTTCTGAAAAGTTATGGCTCTTTACACTAATTATGGACTATTTAAGAGCCACCGTTGCTTGAGGTCGGTGTGTACAGGGGGCTCCATTTCTCATGTTACTACTGTCCTCTCAAGACTCCTCCCTCTTTGAACAAGCCTATGTTAAAATTTCATCAGAGGATTCAGCCACGTACAGTTATCAGGGTTCTGAACTTTCCTTGACAGAAAGAAGACAGGAAGAAAAGAAAGGAGTTCTCCCAGATGGTCTCAGTTCTTTTTCCCTGAGGCGCTTCCTCACTGTCTGTCTTCTATTGTTCCTTGGTGTCTTTGATGGAGAGAAGATGTAACGGACCCGCGCATCCTTTCTCTTCTGTTCCAGTGCTTAGCACTGCTCCTGGTGACCACCACTCTTACTCTCTAACCGGAATGTGCATCAGAATCATCTCCGGGAGCTGTTAAACTGCAGAGGTCTGGGTCCCACCCCCAGGATTCCTGGCTCTATTGCTCTGGGGGAGAGACCTAGAATTTGCCTTTCTGTCAAGTCCCCAGCTGATCCTGCTACTCTTGGTCCTGGGACCACATTTTGAGGCTCACATCTCTAATCCTAAACCATTATTTTGTTCTCCTTAACCCTTTGGGGATGAGTAATACCAGTTCCTTTCATCGATCTCGGTAACACCCATTTCTAGAATTTTTAGTCACAAGGGTAGCTCTTTGAACCAGTTCCAAATCCGTGTATTTCTGGATGGTAGAACTGGAAACAGGACTGTAGTTAATTTTGACATAATAAAAATAACAACCCCTGCTATTTCTATGATGTGTTTCTCTCAAAGAGTTACAGCAGTATTTTCTTATCTATTATTTTGTTTGTCTGCCTAATATCCATGAGATATGACTTCATTTTGGTAAAGGAGACATTTGAGGGAAAAGATATTGAGCAATCACCATGAGGATACGCAAGACAAGTCTTGAACTCAGCTTTCCTGACTCTTGTTCAAAGCTGTACTTGAATTCTTGGAGGGTTTTGTTTGATTTCTAAAATCCAAAGTCCAGTTCAGTTCATTCAATCAACATGAACTGCTTTGATCTATTATTACACTGCCAAAACAATTAGGAAATTGCTTAATTTTGAGTAAAAGTTGTCATTGGCTGTTCAAATGCAGACAGCCTAACTTAGAGGATTCCACTCCACTAAAACAATAGGAAAATTTAAAACCCTTTTGTGTGGAACTTTATTTCTAAGATGGCTTTTAACTGTGATCCCACCTTTGGCTTTCAGTTCACAAAACATTAATTTTGGTGCAGTTTGTCCCCTAATTTCTCCTGCTGTCATTAAATAGCCTTCTGCGAGGTTCTTCAAGTTGGTTAGGACATTGTTATATTTTTACAATCTTCGCAAGATAATTAGGGATTTCTACATTCATCATTTACCTGATTTCGTGTATCACATGTTTCCAAGAAGAAAGTGAGAAAGAGATTAAAGGGAGAGCAGTTTTGCAACACACCAATTTCATTATTTACATTCTCTCAAAGCATTTTAGCTCCTTAAGCCCCCTGGTCCTCTCTCTGGTTTTCTTATATCATTTCCTGTCTTCCCATTGTGACAAAGAAAATGAAGAGTCTGACAGCTTATGAAACAATAAAGCTGAATCAGATGTGTTTTTAAGGGTCCTATTGTTTGTCCCTAAATCATCGCTGCAAAAGTGAAAGACTCAAACTGTTCGACTGACACACAAATTGCCATCAGCAGGGTATCAGAAGGAATCTCATTTGTTACTACCAAGGAAATAGACAACACCAGTGGACCGAGTGTCTTTCATCCAAATTAGACTAACCAAATCAATTCAAATCATTAGGATGCATTATATCCAATTATATATAAATCTGCCTTGTAAATAACCACTTACCTGCCCAGAGCAATGCAATGTTTTATGCTAAACCAACAGTTAGAAAAATTACAGAATTGACTGACAAAATATTTTAATGGGTTGTTACATATTTGGTTCTCAATTCATTCAATAAACATTAATTGAGGACCTACTATATCCTGGGAATACAAGGATGAATAATACGTGATCCTGGTCCTCCAGTGCTCACCTAGTAAGAGGAAATAGACAAGTAAAGAAATGACTGCCCTCCTCGGAATCTAAACTGCATTCAATCCCAGGAAAATTAATGGTGTGAGTTTCTGCCTGGTTTATGCATGGGGGGAAAAAGATGAAGAGACTAGTGAAACTATCTAGAGGGGAATAAAAGGTGAAAATTTGCATAAAGGTTCATGTCCAGTGTCTTCCAACGACCTTTTCCAAATGCAGCTTTGAGGTTAAGCAAAGCACGATAAGGAAGGTTGGCCTGTGCAAGA